GTTGTGAATCTGATCCCCATCGTGGAGTTGATGAGCAAAATTGATCTTTGGAGCTATTCTTACTCAAATGCCACTTGAAGAGACTCTTCAGAAAACAGTTGTTTTTAAAGCCCCACCTTATCCCTTTAATTAGAGTGTCGGGACAAAACCAGATATGTATCTGATTGGTGAAGGTTTAGGACTCCTTCCCCCAGTCCTCATGTTTAGGTAATTCATGGCTTTTTCTTTGACCAAGAAAGCACATGACTACATATCAAGGTAGTTAAAATAGCATGTCAAAAAAATATATAATGTCTGTATCACCTGTAACTGTTTAAGCCAATGAAACCTTTCAAATTTTATGTATTGTGGGGCTTTTATGTAGCACTTTACATTTTCATGCTGCTTATTGTTTTGTTCCACTGAAATAAATGAATTTCATCAAAATTCTCACCTAATTTTTTTAAAAAAAACCTTTAAAGTTGTTTATCATTTTGACTATGGAAATATAATAGTTCCTATTTCAGGAGAATAAGAAATCTTTTTGTTATTTTTGGCTATGAATAAACTTTCTGGTATCTTGAGACCTCCCATTTTTATAGACCAGAATCTGTAAACAAATCTCACACATTTGGACTTACTTGGGCAGAAACCTAGGCTGAAGTACTGAAAAACCTGTATTGTTCCATCATTTGCAAGTAAGTATATGAAAAGCGAATGCATTTAGTGAACCTGCCTCTTAACAAAGACTAATGTGTACATTAACATGTGTACTGTTTAAGCCTTTGTGGGAGGCTTGTACCTTGCTCAGAAGCTGTTTGGAACACCTCTTGAACAGTTGCCTTCAGAACTAGTTTGAGCTGCTCAATAAAACCAGTGACTTTATTCATACCGTGTTTTGACCAAAGGTGGTATTCTTTATGTTATTCGGCCTTCTGGCCATTCTACCTCCTTAAATATTTTTTCCCATCTTACCACTTCGTGCTCACTGCCATTACCCTAATGAGCCTTACTCTCTTCTGAATTAGTGCAGTAACCTCTAACAAGTCTCCAGTCTTACCCCATTCCTCACACTGCAGCCAGTGTCTTCTTCAGTGCACAGATCTCATTCTGTCTTTTAAGCCCACAGCCTCAATGTAGGTCATAAGGCTGTGTGTAACCAGAGTCCCACTGTGCTCTCTGGCCTAATCTGACAGCTTACTGGGGCCTTTCCACAGCTCTGAGCGTGAGCACTGGGGCCAGTCCTGTTTCCTGAGAGAACTGAGCAAATGTTAAAGTTACACATCCCCTGTCTTACACCATATATATAACTTAAAATGGACCTAAGACCTTAGCATTAAGAGCAAAAACTGTAAGATTATTAAAGTAAAACATACTAGGGGCGCCTGGGTGGCGCAGTCGGTTAAGCCTCCGACTTCAGCCAGGTCACGATCTCGCGGTCCGTGAGTTTGAGCCCCGCGTCGGGCTCTGGGCTGATGGCTCAGAGCCTGGAGCCTGTTTCCGATTCTGTGTCTCCCTCTCTCTCTGCCCCTCCCCCGTTCATGCTCTGTCTCTCTCTGTCCCAAAAATAAATAAAAAGTTGAAAAAAAAAATTAAAAAAAAAAAAGTAAAACATACTAAATCTTCATGACATGGGTGAGGCAGTGGTTTCTTTAGATACAAGACCAAAATCACAAGCAACCAAAGAAAAAAATATTTCATCAAAATAAACTTTTTGTGTTTCAAAGAACATCATTAATAACGTGAAAAGAAAGGAGTACTTGGTGGCTCAGTTGGTTAGGCATCCAACTCTTGATTTCAGCTCAGGTTACAATGTCGTGGTTTGTGGGACAGACCCACATCCGGCTCTGCACAGACAGCACGGAGCCTGCTTGGGATTCTCTCTCTCCCTTTCTTCCCCTCTCCTGCTTGCACGTACTCTCTCTCTCTCTCTCAAAACAGATAAACTTAAAAGCGAAAAGATAACATTGAATGGGAGAAAATATTTGCAGATAATATATCTGATAAGAGACTTGCATCTAGAATATCTAGAGAACTCCTATAACTCAATAATAATAAAAAAGAAATAACCTGATTGAGAAATGGCAAAGGATTTGAATAGACATTTGTACAAAGAAGATACACAAATGACCAATAAACATGGAAAGATGCTCAACATCAGTCATGAGGGAAATGCACATCAAAAGTACAGTAAGCTGCTTCACACCCACTATGATGGCTAGAGTAAAAAAGTGAGGAATTGGAGAAATTGGAGTTCTTTTCCATTGCTCGTGGGAGTGCAAAATGGGGCAGCCCCTTTGAAAAACTTGTAGTTCCTCAAAAGTTAAGCAGACTTACCATATGACCCAGCCATTCCACTCCCAGGTATATTGCCAAGAGAAATAAAAACATGTTCACACAAACTTGTACATAAATATTCATAGCGTTATTGTTAGTAGCCCCAAACTGGAAATCCAAAAGCCCATTGACTGAAGAATGGATAAACAAGATGTGTTCTGTCTCTACAATGGAATGTTATTTGGCAATAAAGAGGAATGAAGTTATAATACATACTGCAACATGGATGAATCTTGAAAACATCATGCAAGAAAGGAAGGAGAGAAGAAGAGAAAGAAAAGAGAAAGAAAAAGGAAGAAAGAAGACAACATGCTGAGTGAAGCCAGACACACAAGGCTACATATTGTATAATTACATTTATATGAAATGTTCAGATTAGGCAAATCCACAGAGACAGAAAGTAGATTGGTGATTGCCAAGGGCTGGAGGGAAGTGAAGGGAAGGAGGAGGTATGAGGTTTGTTTTGGAGGAGATGAAAATGTTCTAAAATTAGATAGTGGTGATGGTTGCACAACTCTGAACATACAAAAAACCACAGTTTTAAGAGGTAAATTCATGACGTGTGAATGATATTTCAGTAAAGCCATTATTTAAAAAGTTACACTTCTCTCCAACTGAGTTTTTCTCCATACTGTGATCACAATAATTGAACTACTGAAAATAAGAAAGATTAAAAAAAAATGATAGGACCTAACATTGTATTCAAATGTATCCAAAACAAAACAAATATTTCTTGAAAACCAACAATATCTATGAACAATTCTAGGGTTCCAGCCAGTCCTTTTATAGGCCTGTTTCAAATGGAAGAGAGGAAAAGAATGATCTTTCGAACAAAATCTACAGAAAAGAACTTTAATGGGTCTCATCCCTTTCCCACTAAATCTTCAGGAGCAATGTGACTTTTTAAACAAATTACCTGGATAATTCTGAGAAGTGGCCAGATTTGGGAATCACTGAATTAGTCCCCATACTGAATTATTCCCACTCCCAAATTCCTGTTTAACTCCTATAATTTGGCTTCCTGCCACATCTTTGAACTGAAACTACAGTTAATTGAAGTTTGGAGATCCAACTGAAGCTGTTTTCTGCCTTCACTTCCTCACATCACTCAAACCAGAAACTCCTTTGGTTTTCATAGTCACCCTCTATGCTTTTGTTTGGGCTTCCCATCCATCCATTCGAAGTATAGGTTCCAGTGCACCTGGCTGGCTCAATCGGTAGGACATGCAACTCTTGATCTTGGGGTTGTGGGTTGGAGCCCCACATTGGCTATAGAGAGTACTTAAAATAAAATCTTAAAAAAATATATATATAGATTCTCAAGGTTCTACACTTACACTGGGACTTCTATTTTCCTGGAAGATCTCACCCTTTCTTGTGGTTAAACTACCACCATACGCTGAAGGCTCCAAATCTATTTCTCCAGTCCAGACCTTTCTCCTGAGCTCCAGGCTTCTCTATACTCCAGCTGCCTATCGGGCATCTGGAAGTCCCATGATACCTCACACTCCACAAGTCAAAAATCTATGTCCTCTCCCCCAAATTTGTCTACCTCTAGTGGATATCGGTTAATGGTGGTACCATCCACCAGCCCTACCTCCAAACTAGAATTGTAGATAACACTGTTGACTTCTATCACCTCCCATTCTGTTCAGTCAGCAAATGTATTCTACTTCAGAAATAACTTGACCATCTCATTCTTCTGTCCTCTTCCCTCCTCTTCCTTCATCTTCCCTTCCATTAGGGCAAGACCTCACCCTCCTTTGTTATTACAGCTTCTCCCATCCAACTGATCCCAGTTAGGAATTCCTTAAAAAAATAAAGTGGATCATGTCACCCCACTTTGCTTAGAGAATCAAAAGAACTTCTTTTGATTCCTTCTTACATGATAAAACCCTAATTCTGTTTCAGTTCTGGCTACTGTTCTTCCTGACCTCCAACCTCATCTCCCTACGTCTCTACCACACTAAACTCTTCTCCATCTTGAACACAGCAGCCAAGCAATAAGTAGTCTTTAAGCATTTTATTCCTTTCAGTAGATTAAATATAACCACATACATCTTTATACTCCTAGTGTTCATAATTCCATATCCCAGGATAGGATTCAAGCCTAATTTATGATGAAATTATACATTTTAGGATTGAAGACCAAAATTAATCTGATGCTCGTGATCGGAGGAAGAGCTTACATAATCATGAATTCCCCTTTGGTGTACGGGTTCCTTCAAAATCAAATGTCTTTTCACTGAAAAAAAGATGTGTATGTGGGAGTAAAGCAAGCATCCGTGGCCATAGACAAAGCATGATTTCTCAGATGGAGAAATAAAGCAACCTTGTGAAAACAGGTCATTTGTGTGTTTACTCAGCATTTCCTAAGCACATTCATGCACTCATCTTGTCCATCAGGTCTTTCCTGCAAATCCACTCAGAATCCAAGCTGTCTCCCTTGTGGATGTGACAGACTGGTTTTATGCAGCTAGAGGGAAGGATTAATGATCTCAGCAAAGAGCTGGCATATTCAAGAGGTTTAAAACATTTTTTACGTAACAGTTTTAGCCAAAGCTGCTCTCGGACTCAGCGGCAGCAGAATTTCACAGGAGGACAAACTTGTTGACTAATGGCCAATCATTAGGCAGCAGGGAGGGCAAAGCCTTGGTGTTTGTGTCACGCCTGAGGGGTGGGAGGTGGGGTGGGTCAAGCTTCACTATCAAATACTGAATCGGAAAAATCAGTCTGGCCAGTCATGCCCTCGCAGCCCCTTGGAGAAGTACCATCACAAAGCGACAGACTGAATCAATGGTTCAGCCCAGGGGGGTCTGCCCCGCTGCAGGTTACTGGCGAGCAGCTTCTGGTATCATAGACAGTCACAGAATGCCTTATTTCACAAGACTCATTTTGTTCTTGTTTTGCCTGGCGGCTCTTGTGGAGAGCAGAAAGCCCAAGAGGAGGAGATGGACAGGGCAGCTGGAAATGCCCAAGCCAAGGTAAAGTCGTGGGGGGGAGAGGGGGGAGGGAGGTCACTTGCAGCAGCAGCAGCAGCAGTAGCAGCATAGTGGGATGGCTCCCAGGAGGGCCAGGGGTTACCTCGTTTCTATTAATCTATTTCCAGCCGGAGGTAGACAGGGCCACCACCTCACTGAAAACAGCCTCTCTCGGGGTACAAATATACTATAGTGTCACAAGCCACGAGAGAGCAAAGCTAGACTGGGTTGAGCATTTTCTTCTAGTATCTGTGTTCTGCCCAAGCATTTTGACTTAAGGCAGGTAGGTGAAGATTTTGTGGGTCAAATATCCTGTACTTCTCCGATTGTGCTGCTTTGTTTCTCAGGATTACATCCTGTAGGGACCATAGGTGGCCTGCTGAGTGATTGCACTCAAGTACTTTGGAGGGGGGCCTGTATATAGGAATTTAGTTGGAACTACTAAGAAAACATTGTAAATGGAAGTTGTCCCCTTTAAATTATTTGGGGGGCACCTGGAAGGGTGCAGCCGGTTAAGTGTCCAACTCTTGATCTTGGCACGGTCATGATCTCACAGCTCATGGGTTCAAGCTCCACACTGGGCTCTGTGCTGATGGTGCAGAGCCTGCTTGGGATTCTGTCTCCCCTTCTCTTTAGCCCTCCCCCGCTTGTGCTCTTTCTCTTTCAAACTAAATAAATAAACATTTAAAAAAAAAAAGTATTTGGGAACAACTTTAAAATAGTATCGGGTTTCATTTCACTGTGTTGAATCTTCAAAAGGTATTTGAAATTTGCTAGGTTATCAGGAATACATGTGTGGACAACAGGAATTGCCATTTCACGATGTAATGGAAACATTTCCAAGATACTGGTGAGGCAATCAAAATCATTACATTACAAATCAAAGTTCCCTATTAAGTTTGTTTGAACTGATGTACAAAAAATGATACTCCAGGCCTGATGTAGACATGACTATTCAGAAGAAAAGAGCAAGCAGCTAAGATATAAACACCACATGTGAGATGCTACACCTGTTTTCCATTCTACTAAGCATTGTGTGAACTAGTGATTATGAATATAAAATAATATCTTGAGACACAGTTTCTAGGTCACTGGTTTTTAGTTTTAATTAGGCACTGCTATCGCTGACAATTTTTTGAAATTGTATCTATATGTATATTTACTTATAAATTATATACACGTACTGTTATAAACATATATACTAAAGTAAAATGATTGCTTCCTTATTTTTAGATAAAAACTGTCAGTAAGAGTTACAATTCCTATCTTCTGTGTCCCAGCGGACCATCTTAAACACCCCAGGGGTGTGCTGGCTTTGGAGACTGCTCCCTGGGGGATATATGTGCTCTGCAGGGCCTGATGCTACCCAGGCAGAAAGCAAACAGATAAAACTTATCCATGATGCCAGGAAAGAGGCACTGCTCTGGAAGTCTTGCCCTGGTTATCTTGCCAGGATCACAGGCTTTTGGACTGGAAGGAACCTCAGGGGTCACGTGAGCCAGCAGAACAGCAATTATTCTGCGTTCTAATTCTGTGACATGTGAATAGGTATTGTGTGAAAAGGGGGCCTCAGGGTCAAAGAAACTTGGGAAGCTCTGGTTCAGATGATTTTAAACAGATGTCTCTATAGCAGAGCTTCTAGAACATTTATTATGCAAATAGACATTCTGCATCTTGAAGGGGAAAATAAATTATGCAGTTTCTCAACAAAACAAAACAAAACAAAACAAAAAACCAACTCACTTTTTTGGACTATCTTGTGGGAGTCATAGTTTACAGAGCACATATTGGGAAGCACGGACTCATTTACGGATGCTGAAAAGTCAGCTCTCAGGCGTGGGTAATTCACACAGCTGGCTAGTGACTCCACAGGACTAGAATGTAGGTTTCCTGATTTACCCAGCCTGGAGGAAAAGCGTTATATGGAATGGTCTATTCCCTAAGAATGGTGCTAGGGTTCAGCACAAGCCCCTCAGGGATCCTCAGGGATCCTACTCGGCAGCCTGGGCTGTCACATCTGTCACTCCCCAGAAGACCCGCAGTCATTCCCAGCCACCTGCATGAGCTTGGGGGTAGATTGAATCTGACCCTTAGGGGTAAGGGGAGTTTCTTGAAATCCATCCCATGAGATACTAAGGTGGAAGAAAAGATGAACGTACACATTCAACAAATATAAAATAATTATCGCAGAGGGGCTGGGAAAAAGATAGAGAAAATGTCATATCAGGAAACACGGTTCTAGGCCTTTCTAAATTTTTTTTAATGTTTATTTTTGAGAGAGAGCGAGAACGAGAGCAAAAGCTCTGTGCTGACAGCAGAGAGCCTGATGTGGGGCTTGAACTCATGAACCACATCATGACCTGAGCCAAAGTTGGATACTTAACTGACTGAGCCACCCAAGAGCCCCAAAATGACCTGAAACTTTACTGCACTTACCTCTGTAGGGTCACTTCTTTTCTTTGAAGTCCTGTGTCCTCCACCCTGCAACGCCACACGGTCATACACACACATACCACATACCATACATAGGATTTCACACAGTGTCACACACACCACACGTACATGGTCTCACACACACAGTCATCCCTTCACATGTAAGATATATGGTCACATTCACACATACAATCACACACACCCCTACACACTGCTGTTAGGATCTCTTCTAACCTATATACCTTCCATATCACTGTGGCCAAGGCACCCTTACAAAACAATTATTCTGCTCAGGAGCTACCTTTTCAAAAACTTCTGGTTTTCTGATCCTTTGTGTCCCTGTTTATTGAATTGATGCCACCCGAACCTGTTTTCTCTTAGCTATTTGATTTGTTCTCTTCTCCCTGCCTTTCAGCCTCCCGGCTTTCTCCCAACTCCTCCCTGCGTGCTACCTAAGTTGGCCGCCTGACCACATGATTGCTTTCCTACAGGAGAGGCCCTTTTCCCTGGAGATCTGAAAATGCACCTCGCTCTAGGCTCCGAGGTCTGGGCTCTCCCTGGATAACACTCTCTGGTTCCTCCTGGTCCCAGAGCTGGGGGGCCCCTTCCATATTTCCTCTCCTATTTGCTGCCCCCCTTGGTACTGCCTGCCCTTGGCTGTCCTTCTCTTGGTCTGCATCGTGGCTCAAGTTGTGCTGGGCCCAGGAGCAGTTTTGCTTTCCTGCTGCCCAGTGACCTTCATCCTCCCCAGAGGCCTGGGAAGGAAGTGGTGCCAGGAAGTCAGGGAATCCAGGTTCAGGCCCTGGTTCTGTGGCTCTCTGGCCATGGCCGTGTTTCCCAATCTTTCTGAACCTCATTTCTCCTACTGAAAAGGGGTGATTTTGAGACCTTCCCCACTGGGATGATGGGGTAACTAGAGCTCGGGGTCTGCATAGAGAGGGGGTGATTCATACAGGCGTAGTCATTTTGACTGCAACTATTGTCACCAAATAAACTTCAACACAGTGGCGCTAGCCCTGCTTCTTGAAGGTGTAGCGAGCACATCATTCTTCTCTCCCCACCCAAGGCTGGTTTGAGGTCCTGTGGAGGTTCTGGCTGTCCCACATGGGGCTGGGACTCAGGGTATGACCCCTGGAGCCTGAAGTCTTCGGTCCAAGGCATCCAGGCGCTGAAAGGATGAATTGAGGGCATCTGGCTCACACAAATAGCTCAAGGCTGGAGATACTAGTGGCCTGACTTATCAAATAACTGGTTCCTTAAAAAAAAAAAAAAAAAAAAGACTCAACAATGGCATAGGCATTCCAATCTCCTCTGTCCTGCCAGGGTGCTGGAGTTCTGGGACTTCTGTTCCCTAATCCGCCCCTCTAAATGGATATGGAAACCGCTGGCCAGCAGGGATTTGCTCCATGTGAGACAGAGGGGTAGTGTGCCCGTTGCACTCACAATTTAATGTCTGTGATCTGCTAAGCCCTTCGGCTGAGCTCTTCCTCTACCTTTCTGGGGTGTCGAATGTGGCCTGTCACACAGTCGCTGGGCAGGCACTGGGCCCGGTGCTTCTTGATTTCTGGAGCCAGGCTTGGGGCAGAGACTGTGAGAATGGAAGCTCCATGGAGGCACCCTGACGGTGACCACCACGCTTCAAGGGGACTGAACTGGGTTCCATATTCCAGCTAACCAGGAGGAAGACTTCTCTCCGATTGGCTTGTCTAAAAGCAATTCTGATCATGGCTTCTTCCTCCAACTGCTTACCTTCAGTGTTTTCCTGTTGCCTTTGGATAAAGACAAAATTCTTAACATGATCTTCAAGGCTCTGCCCGGCCTGGTCCGTAGGTGCCCCTGCAGCCCCACTCTGTCCATTTCAGTGCCTCGCCCTTCCCTTTCCCTTTTATTGAATGCCCACTCCTCTTTCAGCCTGGGTCACCTCAAAACTGGTGTGTCTTAAACCAAACTATGGGTGTGTTGAATTTATTTCATATTTAAAGTTTATTTATTTTGACAGAGAGAGAGACAGAGAGAGAGAAACAGAGAGTGCAAGCAGGGAAGGGGCAAAGAGAGGGGGAGAGAGAGAATCCCAAGCAGGATCTGTACTGTCAGCACAGAGCCCGATGTGGGGCTCGAACCCATGAACTGTGAGATCATGACCTGAGCAGAAACCAAGAATCGGACGCTTAACTGACTGAGCCACCCAGGCTCCCCATGAGTATGTTGAGTTTCAATGCCTACAGGATAGCTACTGGGGATAATTAGACAGTTGGATAAAAGGTCTAGAGCAGGGGGTACGGATTTAGGAATCCTCAACACGTTAATGACAATTGAAGCCACAGCTATAGGCGAGCCTGCCAAACAGGGTGTAGAGGGAGAAGAGAGGGCAGCTGGGACAGGGCTCTGGGGACACTAGCAGTTAAGGGATGGGCCGAGGACGAGGGGGAGACTGCAGTGGAGATTGAGAAGGAACCGTCAGAGTGATAGGAGGAGAACCCAATGCCGGGTCCGGAAAGACCAGGTTTCTAGCAGAGGCATGGCCCTCCGTGTGGCAGAGAAGCCAGCACCCAGCAAGAGTGCCTGCAGGGCCTCGGGTCAAGCACAAGTGGGGCAGGGCGGACTTGAGTGAGGGGTGGCAGCAGCAGGTGACACACAGCTCTCTGTGTGGAGGATCATTTATTAGGAGGGGGAAAGAGTTCTATTTTAAAGAAAAAGTTTAAAGATGAATATAACTGCCACACCTGTACTGCTGCCACTGTTTAATACATTTTGCACGAGAAGGACGTGCGGTCTAGACAGATATTCTGCTTAGGGGTCAAGGTGGGAGAGACTTGAACCCGGTTTGAAGGCTGACGAGAATAAGCCATGGACGAGGTAGATGCTGAGGAAGTTGGGGTGAGGGTGCTTGAGGGCAGAGGTCAAGGGCTCTGGGAAGAGGGTCAGGCACCTCTGCCCAACCCCCAGGTACTCTAAGAACCTATGAGTGAAAATACTACTACTGCTCCTGCTCCCGAGTTGCCCCCTCCCTGTTTTCACCTTCTCCCTGAGAAGCTCCAGGTGGCCTTCAGAGAATAGTTGGGAGGTCTGGAGCTCCAGGTGGCTCCTGGGCTGTAAGGTGGGAAGCCCCAGCTTATAGGGGAATCTGCTTCTTGGGTGGGGAGGGAAGTCAGGGCAGAAGTTAGGCCAGCACTGCAGAATAAAACTTTTTGAGACCGAGGAAAAGTTATAGATCTGCACTATCCAATATAGTAACCACCAGCCTCATGTGGCTATTAAGCACATAAGTATGGCTAGTAGAACTAAAGAACTGAACATTAATTTTATTTCATTGTAATTGACTTAAACAGCCACATGTGGCTAGTGGCTACTTTATCGATCAGCCCAGCTTTAGAACTCCATCAAATTGCACTATCTGGGCAGAGCTGATAGAGAATGAAAGTTAGTGAGGATTTCACAGAAAGATGTGTCAAAGAACAGAACCTCAAAAGAGGAAACATGTTACTTTCCTCTTATAGAGTTTAAACAGGAAATATGCCTATTTCTCTAAAAAACATGAAGTGTGATAACACTGAGAATAAAATAAGGATGTATACATAAATGAACAACAAACATTCAAAACAAAAATCCCTTCATTTACTTCTAAAATCTTTAAATATCCTACACATAACGCTGACTTCTTATAAGGCTGTTTAGTTTCTTCTGTCAAGAATTAGATCTCGCAAACTTACAAGAAGACCATGGGGGAAGGGGAAAAACTAGTTTCAGAGAAGGAGGCAAACCATAAGGGACTCTTAAATATAGAGAACCAACTGAAGGTTGATGGTGAGAAGAGGGGAGAAGGGAAAATGGGTGATGGGCATTGAGGAGGGTACTTGTTGGGATGAGCACTGGATGTTGTATGTAAGTGATAAATCATGGGAATCTACTCCCGAAGCCAAGAGCACACTGTATACACTGTATGTTAGCTGACTTGACAATAAATTATATTTAAAAAATAAAAATAAAAAACATTCATAGAAAAAAAAAAAAGGAATTAGATCTCACATCTTGTTAGACCCAAATCCATCCATCCTTCTTTCCTTCCTTCCTCCCTCCCTTCCTTCCTCTCTCCCTCCCCTACTCTCTCCTTTTTTTAAAATCTTAGAATTCTTTTTTTTTTAACTCTTTTAAAAAATGTTTATTGGGGCGCCTGGGTGGCTCAGTCGGTTAAGCGTCTGACTTCGGCTCAGGTCATGATCTCGCGGTCCGTGGTTTCAAGCCCCGCGTCGGGCTCTGTGCTGACAGCTCGGAGCCTGGAGCCTGTTTCAGATTCTGTGTCTCCCTCTTTCTCTGACCCTCCCCTGTTCATGCTCTCTCTCTCTCTCTCTGTCTCGAAAATAAATGAACATTAACAAAAAATTTTTTTCTTAATGTTTATTTACTTTGACAGAGAAAGAGAGCAGGGGACGAGCAGAGAGAGAGGGAGAGAGAAAATCCCAAGCAGGCTCTGTGCCATCAGCACAGAGCCCAATGCGGGGTTTGCACTCATGAACCATGAGATCATGACCTGAACCAAAATCAAGAGTCAGATACTTAACCAACTGAGCCTCCAGGCACCCCCATCACAAAACCAGTATTATAGTAACATAAGAGAAATGTTTAAAAAGAAATATATATATATAATCCTCCACCATTCAACCCAACTGCTGTCATCCAATCATTACCTTACGAAGGCTCTGCAAGGGTCTGGTTCTCAGGACTGACTATGAGGGCCTGGGGAGGACAGGGTGGGTCAGGAGGGGTGTGTGTGTGTGTGTAGCCTTTGGTGGATGGAGAAGAGATGTCTAACAGGTAGCTCCTATAGGGAGTAATCTCCCCATATGCCTTTGTGGGTCGTTGGGAAAACATCTCTTGCTTGTCTTTGCAGTCACTTATATAAGAAGAACCTCGACGTGACCAAAATCCACAAGGGAAAACCTCAGCCACTTCTTAGAGTGGAGGACCATGATTTCTCCATGAGACCTGCCTTTGGAGGTAGGACTGAGTCCCCAGGGGCTGCCTGCTGCCCTGTCCTGCTCTGTCCTGTTCCCTCAGGCACAACCCTCCCTTGGGGCCCCAGTTTTCCCACTCACAGTCAGATAAGCCCAAATCGGCTTCCGAAGTCTCTCATTTCCTCAAGGAGAGAAGAGTTGGAAGGAAATGAGCTAAGAAGGCTGTTGGCTGAAGTGTTGCTAATGGTTAAGATGTCTACGACCAGAGTGGACCTGCCTTGCTGCTGCCAGCTTTCTTTTCCTAAAACATGAGCCAGCCTGGAGAGTCTGGACACAAAATGGCTCCCCTGGGTCAGCCACCATTCCCAGTGATTAGCTGGGAATTTGGGGTGTTGAGGGCCACCTGCCTTTCAATGCAACAACAACAATTTAACCCATGATGAGTCTCCTCATAAACTTGGCCCCTAAGGAGCTTTGCTGCTTTGCAGTCAGGGACGGGTGGTCAGGCTGGTGGCTTTCCTTTCTTTCCAGGAATTGGAGAAATGCCACAGGAAGGCCAGGAAAGGAGCCATCTGCTCTCAACAGGCGGGGAGTGGGGTATGAATAGCAGAATGTGCAAGATGTGCCCCGCCAGCACCCCCCCCCCCCCACTTGTGTACTTGGGAAACTGAGGTCTGGTGCATTTCAGCCAACAGGTACTGGCCAAGGCAGACCTGGGCAAGCTGGCTTCCCTTTCCCTTTATTTCCATTTCCAGATCTTCTCTTAGGGCCCTAGGGCTGTAGGGGTGACCTGCAGGCAAGTCACAGATCCTCTCTGAGCCTCTGTTTGCTGGTTTGCAAAATGGGAATTGTAATCCCTACATCTGGGGTTGTTGTCAGGATTAAAGGAGATAATGTATGTAAAGCCCTTGACACATAAGGATTCAAGTCCCTTTAGAAAAACCCAGCTGTCAGGTCTGCCTCTTGTGTGACTGTTATGGGATTAGACATTAATTCATCCCAGGGGCCTTTGCATTTTAAAAGGCCGCAAAGCCTCTCACTCAGTTCTCTGAGCTCTGACACCTGCAGAGCAGGAAGAGAAAAGTAGGAGGCAGATTATGGTCCCATGTGCCTTCTTCCTGCCCAGGAATGTTGTTCATCACTGGCTCAGGTCAGGAGGTTACCAGCTCCCCCAGGGCTCACCATGATAATGCCCACAAAGAATTTTATGAAAAAAAGTTTTCCTAAATAAGCAACTCTAAAATAGCTGTATCTGCTCCAAGAGGTCTAAGTGAGACATTCCTGTCACAAGGAAGATCCACCTTGCCTTTCTGGTAGAGTGTCAGTTAAGTGGCTAGGACAATAAATACACAAAGGCATTAATGACAGCATTTTGATACTGGTTTTTCTGCACCAGGCACCATTCTAATCAAGGTATGTACATACAGGATCTTATTTCAGTCCTCAGAACTGCTCTGTGATGTAGATACTAGAGAGGTGAACTCACTGGGTCAGGTCACACTCCTGCTGAGGTTAGGCCCTCCCTCCTGGCAGAGTGTCTTTTCTTGTACTTTCGACTTGTATGTCCCTCGATGCAGGGCTGACATACCCATCAGGCAGAGTAGGCATAGTGTTAAAGGATCACAATGATATTCTTAGGGACCCCTGAAAATATTTTAATGTATTTAAACACTTTTCTTCTTTTAATGTTTTGTTTTTGAGAGACAGAAAGAGAGCATGAGTGGGGGAGGGGGGGAGAGAGAGAGAGAGAGAGAGAGAGAGAGAGAGAGAGAGAGAGAACCCAAGCAGGCTCCAGGCTCCCATCTGTCAGCACAGAGCCTGACACGAGGCTCAAACCCACAAACCATGAGACCATGACCTGAGCCAAAGTCAGACGCTCACCCCACTGAGCTGCCCAGGTGCCCCTAATGACTCTTACCATCTGTAATCTCTGGGAGTATCTGAACAAGGGTTAGAACCAAGAAGCTTTCCCTACAGGTATTCCTGAGGGTCTCCATTCCATCCAGCACCTCATCCTTGGGCAGGGGACACTGCCCAGGTGGCAGGCAGGTCTCTGAGGAAGGAGACTGGCAGACATAGGTGACTCTGCAAGTAACAGACTCTGTGCAAGTAACTCCTTACTTGTTGGCAGCCCTGTGCCAGGAGCCTGGTAAGAAGCAGAGCCTGGGCCCAACCTGCCCTCATGCTTGCCCCTCCTGACTCCCTCCCCGGCTTAGCACCCACGCACACTAAGCAGGTCATTTGAACAAAGATGTTGTGAAGTTATGTCTTATTCCTGTCCTCTCTTCCTATTTTATTTCTATAAGAGGGGCTTCCTGAGGATTGATGTTTAAAAGTAGTTGATAAAGAAGAATTTATCTGAGGCTAGATACCCCATGGTGACCTTTTAGGTCTGGAAAGAGAACAGATTAAAAATCTAGCAGCTTCCTAATAATCCCAGGGATCAGTTGAAACAAAAATACCTTGCCTAAGCTCCCAGCTGCCTGATTCAGTAGTGCATCCTGGTTAGAGGAAACTCCAAAGACCTGGGGTGTCTCCTCCATTTGTTAGGAGATATGCTGCAATGCAGGCTTTTTTAATATTTAGTTTTTAAGAAATTGTGGTAAAATACATATAACATAAAATTGACTATGTTAACCATTTGTAACTGTACAGGTCCGTGGCATAGTTATCCAACCATCACCCCCACCCATCTCCAGAATGTTTTCATCTTCCCAAACTGAAACCCTGTCCCCATTAAAAAGTTAACTCCAGCTCTTTCCTTTTCCCCAGCCCCTGGCAACCACCATTCTACTTTCTGTCTCTAGGAATCTGACCACTCTCGGTACCTTGTGTAGGTGGAATCATACCGTTTTTGACTGGCTTTTGTGACTGGCTTATTTTGTTTACTTTTATTTACTTATTTATTTTTGTTATAGCACAATTTGTATATTTCAAGGAGACAAAAAGTTAGTATTGTGTACAGTATCTTAAGATAAATTGCCTTCGAATGGGAACTTCCTTCCCAGTACTTTGAGGTCTACAAGGCACATCTAGAAAATTTACTTCTGTGGAAACTGAGGACTGCTTAAATTGAATGGCAGGGAGGGAGAGGGCCTGTGGTTTTTCTTTTTGATTACTTGCTGTAACACTGTCCTTTGGGCGACTGAGGGAGTCTCATGTTTTCTTTAGACATCATTAGGCCCCAGAGCTCTTGCAGGACAACTTTGACGCCGTATGAATTCTGCCGTCTTGCCAGCACTGATGAGAATGACGGTAGTGAGTTCTCACTCAAGTTTGTGCAGCTTTAAAAGAATGCAGTTGAGGAGGGAGTCATCATCAATCTGGCTTATTTCTTTTAACATAATGTCCTCAAGCTTCACCCATGTTGTAACATAGATCAGCATTCCCTTCCTTTTTAATAATATTCCACTGAATGCATAGATCACGTTTGGTTTATCCGTTCATCTGTTAGTGGACATTGGGTTGTTTCCACCCTTCGGAAATTATGAATTATGCTTCCACGAACATAGGTGTACAGATACCTGTTTGAGATCCTGATTTTAATTCTTTGGGGGTATATTCAGAAGTGGAATTGCTGGATCATAGGGTAGTTCAGTTTAATTTTTTGAGGAACCTCCACACTTTCTTCTACAGCAGCTGTACTTTTTACATTGCCACTAGCACAATGTTGATATTTAATGCAAATTGTATACAGGGGAGGTATAGGAGGGATGGAGTGTCACCACCCTACTGTGGGTAGGAAAAGAAAAGCAGCTCAGGGGCTGAGGTGTGCTCTCCTTGCCCTGCCACATGCCGGCCTAGAATTCTGAGGAGTCTGAGAGTTCTGAAGTTGGACTGAACCTTCAGGATTGTTGTGAAGGTGCATTTATCAAAGAGGTAGGATGGGCTATCTGTAATTTTGCAGTATCTTTGCTTGATTTATAACCTTCAGATATACATATGGCATATGGGTCTCTGGTTGGGCTCTTGCCTAGAGGTTGACCCGCAAATGTTGTTGCTGTCCATAGACGTCACCTCCTGGCACCTGGCACCAGGGAGGAGAGTGGGCCCAGAAGGGCAAACCTCGAGGTCAGCACTGGGTGGGTTGAGATTGAGTGACTCAGAGAGACCCGAAGACTGAACCCAGCCTTTGACCAGGGGCAGGTTGGGACACCATCTGGGCCAAAAGCACCTCCCCACATCAGTTTCTAGAACAGAACGCTTCCTGTTAAATCCACACAGCAAAGGGCTGAATTCAGCAGAGAAGGTATGCAGCATTGGCTCATATGTTTCCTTGAGGTAACTGCAAACCCAATGTGTCCAGCTTCACTTCATGAGCCTGCCAATTTTCTGTCAGCTTTTTCTTGGGCAACTCAGGCTGGAAGGTGTTGAGCCCAGCTTGGGTTTGCCCTCCTTCTCCTCCAAGTCAACCAGCTTGAATCAATTCACCCATTAAACTCTCACTCAGATCTGCCCCCTCCTTCCCCTCCCTCATCCCCTTACACCACCCATTCTCAATATGCTCTTGGGGGGTGAAAAAATTCTCCGATGTTATAGTGGTTTGTGGCCCTCCAAAGCTCAGTCCTCCCTAACAAAGTCTTTTTCCTTAGTATTTTATTTAAATTAAAATTAATTAAAACCTTAAATTCCACTAGAATTTTCACTTTAGGGGGCAATAAAGGTGAGGAGTTTGGAAGCACTGCTTATGGCAACACAGTGGTTCCCACCCCACTCATGGTCAGGTTCACCTCCTGGAAACATCGCTTCCATGCGCTGCTCCCTCAGAAACTGCAGGCTCCCCATATTCTTCAAGAGGAAATGCAGCCCCTGCTTCTCCCTGCTGGGTCCCAAGACCTCCACAGTCTTCTCCCTGCTACCCCTGACGAGGACTCTTCCCTGCTAGAACGCTTTCTGTCCCTGCACACCCATGCTTGTTTCTGCCTATGAGCATCTGTTCCCAACGCCCCTGCTCCATGCTGCCCTGCTTCATCCATCTAGCCAGAACCCACTTTAACTCCTCTCCTCTAACATGTGGCATCTCTCGGCTATTTTGAACTATAT